TGGCGTTATTCAAATACCAAAGTTCAAAAAGGGGGAGTTGTGTGCCCCCTTTACCATTCCATCTGAACACCACACGACTGGTATAAGTGGCGCAGACTTTGTGCTCTACGTTGCTGCTGGGCCATCGGGTGGTGCAGCAGCGTGGGCGGGGCCGTGCGCCAGGCTGAAGAACAAACGTCCGATTGTTGGTGTAATGAATTATGATCCCATGTTCATAGACACTGCAGACAAGAGTATTCGCATCGTGGCGCATGAGATTGGACACGCTCTTGGGTTCGGTTTCACGGAGATGAGCATGCGGAACATTGTCCGCGAGGCCTTCAAGGTGCGTGGGAAGCCTTATGTGACTATGGTGACCTCTCCGCTAGTACAACAAATGGTGAGAAAGCATTATGGGTGTCCCGACGCCAAGGGAATGGAGCTGGAGGATGAAGGTTCGAGTGGAACGTCCCTTTCTCACTGGGAGCGCCGCAACGCGAAGGACGAACTAATGGTTGGTTTGGGTGGGAATTTGCATTATACGGCAATCACGATGGCCTTGTTTGAGGATTTGGGTTACTATAAGGCCGATTTCAGCAAGGCAGAGACAATGAGGTGGGGCAAAGATGCTGGATGCGATTTCTTAAGAAAACCGTGTTTTGTTGATGGGGTCTCTCCATATCCCGACATGTTCTGCAACCAACTCAAGGGCAATAAAAGTTTACTCTGTACGTTTGACCGTCTGTCCTTGGGATTCTGCACCCTGAGTAAATACGTGCAACACCTTCCACAACACTTTCAGTACTTTAAGGATCCGACTCTTGGTGGTGTTGGGCTTTTGGCAGATTTCTGCCCTTTTGTTCAAGAATATGTTAATGGTGGTTGTACCAATGGAGAAGCGAGGGCCATGCTTGGAAGTCGCATTGGTCCAAACTCTCGTTGTCTGAAAGGCAATTCTCTTCGTATGGGAACTTACTCTCTTGGTGATGTGTGCGTCAATACACAGTGTGATAAAGGCACCCTGAGAGTGCAACTCCTCGATGATGATACTTGGTACACGTGCAAAGAAGGAGAGCACATAACGCCGAGCAAAGTATTCACAAGCGGCACTATTCTCTGTCCAAAATATGAGGAGGTGTGCCCTGAGGTCACCGAGGACAACAACGATGCTGCTCCTGAGACGTCTTCTGAAACTCGCTCATCCAAAGGAGACCGTAACAGAACAAGCTCCGAGAAATCGTCAAGGCAGCGGAGCTATCCTTACCGTTGGAATACCCGACGTAGACCAAGGATTGAGTAGGAATGCACAGCATCATGGAACAAATGACACTGCAGCAAGGACAGCTCCATCAGGAAATCCTCTAATAGAGAAATCGAACAGACGCATCCGTGAGTCAGACCAAGCGGCCGTCTAGGAGTGCCGAAGATGTACGTGGGGCAATGGTGTTGTAATTGTTGGTGTCAATGACAATGCTAGTATGACTCTGAAGATTGGTATGGGCGATGGCAGTTTCATTGTTGCTGGTTCTGTTCCCTCTGCTGTTTGGCCATTTACTGTTCTGAAATCATCAATAATTTGTTATAAGGAATAAACTGCTTCGGCTTCATATATTTTGCGCATGGGTTCTTCACCCTCTGTGTGTGTCTCTCTGTGTGTGGGTGTTGAATCTATTACTTTTTCGATCATCATTAATAATTTGTTGTAAGGAATAAACTGCCTCGGCTTCATATATTTTGCGCATGGGTTATTCACCCTCTGTGTGTGTCTCTGTGTGTGGGTGTTGAATCTATTACTTTTTCGATTATCATTAATAATTTGTTATATGGAATAAACTGCTTCGGCTTCATATATTTTGCGCATGGATTCTTTACTCTGTGTGTGTGTGCGTGTTGGATCTATTACTTTGGGGTTTTCATCATTAAGGGTGTTTTCAATATACTGTTTCGGCTGAAATTGGATAATTCCTTTGGGTTTGGTGAAGTGTATGTGTGTTGGGTTGTGTGTTGTGCTATGTGCACCACTCGACAGCTGGCGTGTCACTCTTCTTTTCCTCATTTCCTCTTTCTTTTTTCTTCCCTCTCCACACAGTCTTTGCAAGCTTCTCAGTAAATACAGAGTTATGCACAATTCGTAAGTGTGCGCCATGGTGTGCTGCTATTCCCCACACACCCCGGTGCTCACACTGCTGCTGCTGTTGCTTCTGCTGAGTTGTACCGCCGGGTGCCTCGCCAGTACTCTCCCCCGCCTTATACACGAAAAGGTAAGCCAGGTGAACAGGCAGGTGGTGGTGGTGCGGAATACGCCTCTTAGGGGGCAGAGCGGCGTGCAGGCATACACCGCTGGGTAGCGCTCACCGAAGAAGAAAAGGACAAGCAAAACTGGACGTCAATCCGCATCAAGGCGTTCACGAGGGATCTGGACAACCCGTCAAAGTATTGCACACAAAAAGGATTGGTACTTTATATTTTCAGTCGCAAAGTTCAATGCTGTTCCACTACTCTGCTGATGGTAAGGAAGAAGAAGATTATTGTGGAGCAGATTATTTCCGAAGCAATTAAACTGGACACGGAGCTTATCTCTGGTGCGAGAGCAGAATACTCCTATCGTCTCAATCTCAGGCCAACGGCGTTGCCGCCACTATAACACCCCTGAGGAACACCGCACTACCGGTCTGATTGGCGCCGATTTATATCTCTACGTGAGTGCCGTACCAGGAGTAAGTGCAATGGCGTGGACAATCGATTACCACCGATTGGGCAATGGACGCCCCCACGCTGGTATTGTTGATATCAACCCCCCACTCTGTGAAACAGACAAATTATACCATTCGCACAATGGCACAAGGAATCGAACATGTTCTGGGATTCTCAGACGATTTTTATCCAAGGCAAAACATGGTATCTTCCTTTAAAAATGTGCGTGGGAAGAACAAAGTGTGGATGATAACCGCCCCAAATACAATAGAGGTGGTGCGAAGTTACTACAACGGAGACACTTTCCGGGGAGTTCGAGTTGGAGAAGGAAATTAAGGATTACAGCGTTCCTTCAAACTTGGAAGCGCGCAATGCGAAGGACGATATGATGATGTCTGCCGCCGGCTGTACCATTGAAGTAATATTCACAAAGCCACGAAGAACAGAAAGAAAAACGTGGTGGTGAGGTGTAGGATTATTGGGGTAGGGGATAGAAGGGGATATGTTTGATCGTACCCTCCTCATATACACATCATGGAGTAAAGGACGTAAGTGTTTGGGTGGGTGTTTTTTTTTTTTTTTTGTTGATAGTGCTCTAGGGGAAGAGGAGGTGAACCGGCATTCTGATGGAAAAAATAAAATAATAGTAATAAGGATAAATAAAGAGGTAATATGTGTCTGAGAGAGTAGTTGTGTGTTGCCTCTGTTTGTGAAGAGTGGCATGGTATTACAGTGATGTATGCAGTCATTTTTGTTTATGGTTGTGGGTGAGTGGGTTTTTAGATTCCAATTGTGGTGTTGGTATAAATATTATGGTGATACATTGGTTTCTTTATTTTTTCTGTTTGGAAGTGTGTTGATTATTATTGTACAGTCTCTTTGTTTTGCTGATGATTTGTGGTGTTGATTTTGTATGTTGCCAGGCGTACACTGTGTCTTTGGTGTATTTTGGTGTTCAAACTGCCTGGTAATGATTTTATTATAATGAGAATACAGACACTTTGTGTATGCATATCGAGTAAGATATTGGAGTCTGTGTAGAGACGTTTATTCAATATTGTTTTGATACCATTTGTTTTCCACTTCTTCTAAGGTCAAGGTGTTGTTTCAATATCTGTGTGACTCTGGGTGTGTTTTATGGTGTGAGTGGTTTACTGTTGTTCCCCTCATTGAATTGTGTTGTTTGATTGCTGTTGTGATGTGTATTCTCTCTCTCTCTCTTTCTCTCTCCATCTCCTTTTTATTGTTTCGTTTTTCTAGATCAGTGTTTTTACGCAAACCAAACTATTTTTTCTCTCACGATGATGAAAATGAACCGTGTGATGTGTGTGTTGGCCGTTCTGCTGTGCATCGCCTGCGGGTATGCCATGGCGGCTTCTGCTGCTGAGATTAAAGAAAATAAGGACATTTTGGTCCCAGGCAAACGAGACGGGGAAGAAGCAGGGAATGAGGTAGAAGTTCCGCCAGAGTCAGCAGAACCTCCTACAGATAAAGGTGAGACAGGGGAGACTGGCACAACAGGAGGCGAAGAAACAGAGGAAGAGGAAGGAGAAGGTGAAGATGCTGGCACAGATGATGATGGAACAACTGAAGAGGAACAACCTCCTAATGTTGAAGATGAAGAAAACAATGGAACAGATGGGGATCAAGGTAACACTGACCAACCTGGGAAACCAGAAGGAGAGACAACCCCTGCTCCCGAGAAACCTGAAGAAACCCCCAGCGAGGATCCTGAAACACAAGAACCCACTTCCACTAACGCACCAAGCAACGAGCAGAAGCCGGGCGATGCTGACAGCAGTTTCAGCCCTGTGTGGATGCGCACTGCCGCACCTCTGCTGATTGTGGCTGC